CGGATCCTTACCGAATTCGGTAGAAGGCAATTCGGTGGCAACCGAAAAGCCAGAATTCGGTGCACGCAACCTAGCTCGGTGCTATAACTATAATAAAATGTAGAAAAGCACCTAGCCTAGGAAATCAAGCAATTCATGCATGCATATAATTATCCTATGCTAGAAATAGCATGATAAAGTAAAGGCAAGCAAGCATAGCTGGCATAAGCCGTCCTACTCTCACACCACTGCTCCTCTGCGTGTCCCGTTGCCTTCTCCTCCAGAGTCCTCTCTTCCTGTCCTTGCTGACTCGGAGTCTGACTCTCGTCGTGCTGCCAGTCCTACTAACACGCATCTCCTTGCTACTGTTGTCACTGACAATTCCTTTGAGTCCATTGCTGCGTCTGCCTTAGTTGCTGAGCTTGTCGACTTTGCTGCTCGTTGTCGTCTAGACTACGCTGCTAGTCTTGTTGCTGAGTCTGAGTCTATTTGTCCTAAGTCCATCAGGGGTGAGTGTGCTCTTAACACGGACGTCCTTGAGGACAGGCAGGAGGAGTTCCAGTGTTTTGCTGCTGCTTTGCCTAATCTCGTGTCTACGCTGATTGCCCCTGAGGGAGACCCGGATGCACCAGACATCCCGACTCCTCGATCGTACGCTGAGGCGATCGAGGGTCCCTACTCCTCTCAGTGGCAGTCAGCCATGGACGCAGAGATGGCTTCCTGGAAGTCTACAGGCACCTACGTCGATGAGGCTCCCCCACCTGGGGCAAGCATCGTCAGTGGCATGTGGATTTTCAGGGTGAAGCGGCCGCCAGGTTCTCCGCCTGTCTTCAAGGCGCGTTACGTGGCTCGAGGCTTCGGTCAGCGGCAGGGAGTTGACTACTTTCAGACCTTCTCTCCCACCCCGAAGATGACCACTCTTCGGGTACTGCTGCACATAGCCGCTCAGCGCGACTACGAGCTCCACTCTCTTGACTTCAGCACAGCTTTCCTGCAGGGCAGTCCGCACGAGGAGATCTGGTTGCGCCGCCCACCTGGCTTCACTGGGTCGTTTCCTCCTCGTACCCAGTGGAGCCTCCGGCGGCTAGTCTACGGTCTCCGCCAGGTGCCCCGTGAGTGGCAGGACACACTGAGGACTACACTTGCGGCTCTTGGGTTTGCTCCTTCTACAACCGACCTGTCGCTGTTTCTGTGCACCGACACCTCTTTGCCACCGTTCTACATCCTCGTGTACGTCAACGACTTGGTCTTTGCCACTGCTCACAGTGCTGGACTCGCCCACATGAAGTCCGAGCTGCAGAACAGACACACGTTCACAGACTTGGGTGAACTGCGCAGCTACTTTGGCTTGCATATCACCCGGGACAGAGCACAGCGCACCATTACCCTGACTCAGTCACACATGGTGCAGCAGGTCCTTCAGCGCTTCGACTTCACGTACTCCTCGCCTTAGGCCACTCCTCTGTCCACTCGCCACTCGCTCTCAGCTCTGCCTTCGGATGAATCCGTAGAGCCGAGTAGCCCGTACCCAGAGCTTGTTGGCTGCCTCATGTACCTGATGACTTGCACACGACCTGACCTTGCATACCCTCTTAGCATCTTGGCACGCTATGTTGCTCCTGGGAGACACCGACCAGAGCACATGGCTGCAGCGAAGAGGGTGTTGCGCTACTTGTGCAGTACGTCGGGCATGGGGCTAGTGCTTGGAGGGCGACGTTGAGTGGTCCTCACAGGTCACGCAGACGCTTCTTGGGCTGACGACCAGGCTACGCAGCGGTCGTCACAGGGTTACACCTTCAGCCTTGGCTCCGGCTCTGTTTCGTGGCGGTCTACCTGCTCGTCTTCTGTTCTCACCTCCAGCTGTGAGGCTGAGATCTACGCGGGGGCCATGGCTGCACAGGAGCTACGCTGGCTCACCTACCTGCTGACTGACCTAGGAGAGCCGCCTCGTTCTCCTCCAGTTCTGTACGTAGACAACAAGGCCATGCTGGCCTTGTGTCGGGAGCACAGACTGGAGCACAGAACGAAGCACATTGCTCTCCGCTACTTCCTTGCTCGTGAGCTGCAGCAGCGTGGTCAGCTGCGCCTTGCTTACGTGGCCTCTGAGGCCAACACTGCTGATATCTTTACCAAGGCACTTCCGCCTGGTGATCATCAGCGCTTCTGTACGATGCTAGGTCTTGTGCCTACTTGGCCTCACTTGCTTACTTCTTGACCTTGCTTGTACTGTGATCTTTCTATACCTGCACTTGCCTGTTTACCTTTATATATGATCTTGCATGTGAACTGGCCTTGTGGCCTTGCTCTTGTGCTCGGATTGTGTGGTGACGTTGCTATCCACCCTGAGCTTGCTTTGCTTTGCTTGACTGGTCTTGTGACATCTTGTTCTCCCCCACTTTGCCTATGGGGGTGTGTCAAACTCATATCATATAACTTGTCTAGGCTACAGTGGGGTAGACACTATGGGGTACAGTTTCTTAGGGTTTCCTACTTGTACCCAACCTTTTGCTAGTTCATCCATTCCTGATTTCGTCACACCAACCTTCATACCTCTACACCAATCCGATCCCGATGATACAACTCGAGAGGCCTTCAACTTCAATAGTGACGCCCGCCAGTCACCAGATGCCGCGTTACCACCGCCAAACACTTTGCAAGACTCCATCCGCCTTGGCAACGAAAGTGACGACGACGTGGTCGAAGTGACCAGCTTCCACGACTACGATCGCCTGCACTACGAAAAGATCAACGAAACCGGTCTCCGCATCCTTGGGCACGTCGTCGCTGTTTGCCACACCTCCCCCAAGGAACCTACCACCGTTCGCCAAGCTCTCTCCGGCCCCAACAGTGAGAAATGGAAGGCAGCCATGGCCAAGGAGATCGCGTCGCTCAAGAGCCGTGGAACCTGGAAGCTCGTTCCCCGGACATCTGCGAAGAGGAGAAAAATTCTCAGCGGAAAATGGGTCTTTCGCATTAAGACCCCGGCGGACGGCTCCATCGACAAATACAAAGCGCGATGGGTGGTGCGCGGCTTCGAGCAAACTCACATGGTGGATTTTGATCTCACCTACGCACCAGTCGGGCGGCACACTTCAGTGCGGATCCTCATCTGCATTGCAGCCGTCAAACAGCTCCCACTTCATCAAATCGACGTCGGGAGTGCATTCTTGTACGCTCCGGTCGACGCAATCATCTTCGTGGAGCAGCCGCACGCCTTCGAAGAGAGCGACGGCGCGGTCTGCCTGCTCCAGAAATCCCTCTATGAGATTAAGCAAGCACCTCGCCTATGGCAGCAGTACCTGCACACCGTGCTCACGAAGCTCGGCTTCCAACAGGTGCCACACGACCTCGGCATGTATAGGATGGAGTCGCGCGGCAAATTCATCCTCCTCGTTGCCTACGTCGACGACCTCCTCTACACCGGCGACGACACGGAGCTGCTGGACCAGTTCGAAGCGGATATCAAGGAGCACCTGGAGGTCACTGTCAACCACAATGTCACCCAATTCCTGGGTCTCAACATCACCCAGTCCGCTTCCTCCATTCACCTCTCCGCCGCCAAATATGCCGAAACACTCGGCAGAAATTCGGCATCGCACCTATCAACCTCACTACCCCTTTTCGCACTCCTCCTCCTAACCACAAACCGGACACCACGCCCCTCTTTCTCGAGGATCATCGGCTCTATCAGCAGCAGCTAGGGTGCCTCCTCTTCGCCGCCGTCACATGCCGGCCCGATCTCTCCTACGTCACAAGCCATCTCGCTCAGTACATGAAGAGACCTGAAGGGGAGAATCTACAGGATCTACGACGTGCACTTCAATACTTCATCTCTACCCCCGACGTCGGCCTCACCTACGAAGCTAACTTAACGGCTACCCTACAGCTGCACGGCTACGTAGACGCAGACCATGCGGGAGATGTTAACAACAGACGCTCCCGTACAGGATTCATTATTCAACTTAACCTGCCGGACTCATCTCATGGAACTCTCAGAAGTAGGAACTCATCGCCCTTTCGTCAGCCGAAGCAAAGTTCATCGCCGCAAGCGCAGCTGTTCGCGAAGGACTGTACCTGATGGAGCTCCTGCAGGAAGCGAAAGTAACAATGAACGGGCACTTCACGTTACTCTGCGACTACCAAAGCGCAATCAAGATCGCGAACAAGCCCGGCTTCGTGAACCGCACAAAACTCATCGCCCTTCGCTACTTTTTCGTCAAAGATGAAATCGACAAGGGCAAGGTCAAGCTTACGTACTGCCCAGCTGGTGACATGGCGGCCGACTTTCTGACAAAGAAACTGCCACGTCAACAGTTCCAGCACTGCGCCAATCTCTGCGGGATCACCAAGAAGTCCCACATGGCTCACCTTCAGGAATGAAGGGGAGTGTTGAAATAACCGAAAGGTTATTATAAGCATTCCCGAAGGCTCTCCACTGTCGCGTCACTTCATAGCGAAGCAGGCGCCTGTATCAGTACCGCATTAACTCATATAGAGCACGCGGAAGGTCGAGGGTCACCCGAAGGTCAACAGTCGAAGATAGTCAACGGTCGTGACCCTTGACTGCCCAGTAACCGCAGAAGGCTGTTACAAAGTGCAACATGGTAATTGTCTAGAATGGCAATAGTCCTGGTTACTGTAGCAATGTAATTCAGTTAATAAGGGAATGTACCCCTCAGAGTACATGGCTAGCTAGGATCGGTATTTATATCTTCTATCTTATAATCATCTTGTTCTCCTTCAATTTATTAACAAGGTCATTACAGAGACTTCACAGTTCTCTCTCTTATACTTAGCAGCATTATCCTATCCACTTCGATCCTTCAGTTATAACATCAGCATGAACCACTGAAATCAACAAGCCACAAACTCGTGTTGATGGTCTTCCATGTTTCATGCAGTGTTGTGAATAGGAGGTGTTCAGTGGAAGGAAAATAGGAGTAACCCACAAAGCACAATGCTTGCCACAGCACACTTTCCAATGCATAAAAAAGAAAAGAAACAAGTGAATGCTACAGTACTCAAGCCAAGCTGAATATGAGAACGGCAGAGAGAATGTACAAAAAGAACATGACAGGGAGCGCAATGCTATCAATCCGACTGGCGAGCCGATACGCAGCTGCTGCATTCTTTCCCAAGTATTGCTTGTGTGACCTGATGCTTTTTACTGAGCTGGTGACGGCACGACGGAGAGAAGGAGCTGCTTTCAGCAATGGCTGAGCAAAACGGAACGAGGAGAAGGACGAGGAGAGGGACAGGGAAAACTGGCGGAAACTGCTCCCACTGCTGCTGCTGGCGTTGACGTTGCTGCCTGTGCCGCCGCCACTGTTTGTGTTATTGTCTTCCTTGCAGTTACTGGGATTGTGTTGCAGGTGGTGGTTGTTTGGGGCTGGAAGTGAGAGTGGCGAAGGCCGGCGCAATGGCTGATTCACCTGGCGAAGGGGTAAGATACGGGCAGGACAGACATGAAGAGGAGGAAGAATCATTCACAAATTATGTGTGAATCATTCGTCTGATTTGGGAAAGAGGAGGATGAAAGAAATGGAGATAAGCAAGAACAAAGGATATCAGATAATCAAACTGGGTGTTCAAACCAACGCAAGGGCATACCATCTCAATGCCCTGCTGGGCAGCAAAAGCCCCAGCTCCAGCCATCGCCCCAGCTGCAGTCCCAGCTCCAGCTCCAGCCCCAGCTACTGCTGCTCCAGTATAGAAGTCCCTGGCCGTGGTCGTGGTAACACCCGCGCTGGCCCCACCGCCACCACCTCCCACCCTCCCATCCACCATTGTTTCCCCGTCGTCCTCCGCTCCCTCTCTCCGCATCGACCCGCACGCAGACCCGACTGTCCAGAGTGCCGCTGCCTTGCTGGCAGCGCGTGCTCTCGCGCCCTCATCTACCAGCTGAGCCATTGGATCCTCCCCGTCGATGCCGTCCTCGCTGTCGCCGTCTGATTCGTTTCCGCTGCTGCAGTTGCTGCCACAGTTGTTGCTGCAGATGTTGCGACCAGTGCCGCCGCCAGTGTTTCTTGCGGAGGTAGCGCGTGGTTCTGTATGGAAGTAATCAGCTGGAAGGGCAGATGGCGTGTGTGAAGAAATGGCCGCAGCGAGAGCAGCAGACGAAGCAGCAGCAGCAGCCGAAGCAGGAGTGGGAGTGCTCAGCACAGTGCCCGCAGCAGGAGTAGGAGCATCAGAAAGACAGCATTCGCATCTGTCATCCATCCCAGAGGCAGCAGGATCTAGGAGACCAAGGGAGGAGGAGGCTCGGCTTTGAGTAGACGGTGTGTTGCAGCAGCCACCGCCACAGCACAGCGACACACCCAGAGAGGAACCACCAGCACCACCAGCAGCACCACCAGCAACAGCAGCAGCACCGGCAGACATGCGGTTGGAGTGGCGCGGGGCGAAGCGGGACGAGGAGATGGCAGAGGAGCAGGCGGAGGAGGAGGTTCGGGCGGCGCGGAGAGAGCGCGACGAGGAGGAGGCTCGGGGACCGGAGCGGTGGTGCGGATGGGAGAAACCATAGCTGAAATCACTCAGCCGCTGACTGCTGCTGCTACCACCATACTTCTGGTAACCATTAGCCTCATCATCATCATCGTAACCATAGCAATCACCGTCCACGTCGTTACCATAGGCCCTGCGCTTGTTGTGCCTGCAGCTGCGCCCGCCCAGGGACCCACCACCCCTTGTACCAGCCTCGGTATCGTCATCGTCTTCGTCGTTGTCAGGGTTGCCGTGCGCATGAGGCAGCTTGCCCTGCAGGAAACGAACCTCTTCCTGATGGGGTGGATGGGAGGGAGATGGAAGGGGGAGATAAGAGTATTTGTGTTTTGGTCGACTGAACAGTAGCGTTGTTAGCATTGTCGTGTGCGTGAGGCAGCTTCCCTGGAAGAAACAAGGTTTCTTTCTGATGGAGTAGATTGGAGTGAAAGATGGTAAGGGGGGAGCGGGGAGAGGCGGGAGGAGGAGTTGTGAGGGCAATAAAAGAGGAGCAGAAGTTGTGTGCAAGGCGTGACAGAATGCTCAGGGTGTAGAGGGAAACAAGTGTAGGTAAGACTTGGGATGGCCAGTGAAGGCATGGCATGGCATCAGATGGGATGGCGTGGCATGGCATGATATGGAGTGGCCCGGTATGGCAAGGAGCGGGAGGGGAGTAGGTAACCATGGAGGTGAGGTAGGTACCATGGAGGTGAGGTAGGTACCATGGAGGTGAGGTAGGTACCATGGAGGTGAGGTAGGTACCATGGAGGTGAGGTAGAAGACGAAGAGACACTCGAGGATGACAAGCACGATGGTTGCATATGACACCAGCACTAGCTGCCCGAATGCCGTCACGTACGACGTCTTGGGTAGCTGCAAGTGGGGCATGCATGGGACACGTGGGACACGTTTAAACACCACGGCACAGATGTAGCAAGTGGGGTGGAAGGGGGAGAGAAGGGTTGGAGAAACGGGGAAAGGGATTTACATGGTGACTTGTGAGTCGGCTCAAAAGTAACTTGGTTGGTAAACGGGCAAAGAGATTTACAAAGAGGGAGAAGGGCTTACAAAGGGAGGACATGAGAGGTGGGGGGTAGAACTGTGGAAGCAAGAGAGGGGAAGTGTGGCGTGGGAGTGAGATGGTTCGACCAGTTTAAAAAACAAACAGAAAGATTCTCCGGTTCCCCCAAATATCTCCCCAAGCAGAGATTAAAGCCAAGTAGAGCTGTGGAGAGCTGTGGAGGGCTGTGGGGAGCTGTGATGAGCTCAGCGCATGGCTGTCTGGCACACTCCTCCCCATCCACCCACCCACCCACGACACGCCCACCTGCTCCTCGATGACAAACTGCGCGGCGATGAGCGCGAGGAAGAGCGTGACTGCTGCGAGGAGACATAGAGGCCTAGCCAAGTAACTAACTGAGCCACGCCACGCCCCCTTCCCACCCCCTGCCAACCCCCTACCCACCCCCTGCCCACCCCCTACCCACCCCCTTCCCTCCGCCCACCTGCTCCTCGATGACGAACTGCACGGCGATGAGCGCGAGGAAGAGCGTGACTGTGGTGCTGACTCGGATGTCGAGCTGCGTGGGCGTGGCGAAGAACACCGCAAACGCCAGACACACCGTTATCATCGTCGGGAAGATGATCTGATTGGGGGGGAGGGAGGGGGTGGGGGAGGAGAGGGGGGGGACAGGGGGATAAGGGGAAAAGGAAGAGGGGAGGGGGAAGGGAAGAAGGGGGAGGGGGGAATGAGGCATAGGTGGGATGACAGGGAAGCCACTTCACCCCCTCTCTCAGTGGTGCTGATTCGGATGTCGAGCTGCGTGGGCGTGGCGAAGAACACCGCAAACGCCAGACACACCGTTATCATCGTCGGGAAGATGATATGATTGGGGGGAAAGGGGATGGGGGGAAGGGGGAAGGAAGGGGGGAAGGTGGGAACGGAGGAAGGGGGGATTGCGAAAGTGGGGAACGGGGAGGGGGCGAAGAGGCAAGGGGGCAACGGGGGGTCAAGCAGACAGTCACACATCATTGCCCCACGCACCCCTTCGAGAATCCTGAAGCTTTACGTATTATGCCAAGCACAAATGCACCACCCACCCACGCACCCACGCACCCACCCACGCACCCACGCACCCACGCACCCACGCACCCATGCACCCACGCACCCATGCACCCATGCACCCATGCACCCACGCACCCATGCACCCATGCACCCATGCACCCTCATCCATCATCATTCATACCCACCCTCTCACCCTCCCACACACGCACCGTCCAGAGGTAGTAGTAACTGTATCGCTCCACATGAATCGTGAGCGTGCATGTCGACGCATACATGCCGCCCACGCCCATGCCCATCTCAGGGGCAAGAGCTCCCACCCCGCCCCCCACCTCCGCTCCCCCCATGCCCGGAGCAGCTGTAGAGGCGAAGGGGGAGTCCGCTGCCGGGCCCCCCACGAGCGCCTGGTCTTCCTGCTGTCCCCCCTGCTGCCCCTGATCCTGCCCCCCGGGCTGCTGCCCGCCTATCTTGGGTGCTCCTCCTCCTCCTCCCCCTTTGGCTGACCTTGCTGCATCCACTATGGTGTTCACAGGGTCGACTGCGCATTCGGGGGGATGGGTAAGGAAGGGGAGGGGAGGGGGAGGGGAGGGGAGGGGGAGGACGGGTTTAGAGGGGAAGAGACGGGGAACTGTTTTCGAGGTGCCTCATTAACTTCTGCAGTGGTGCCTTCGTTGCTCCCCCTTTGGCTGACCTTGCTGGGTCATTTATGCTGTTCACAGGGTCGACTGCGCATTGGGAGAGGAGGAGATGGGCGGAAGAGAGTGAGGGGAGAAACAGGAGAGTTGCAGTTTAGGAGGGAAGGGAAAGGGGAAGATGGACTCGTGGATTGAAGGAGCTCGGAGGCACGGCGCAGAGATGAGTGGAGGTGGGGTGGGTGGGGACAGGCAGGCAGCGGGAGTGGGCGAGGCAATTTGGGGCGAGGCAATTCGGGGCGAGGCAATTTGGGGCGAGGCAATTTGGGGCGAGGCAATTTGGGGCGAGGCAATTCGGGGCGAGGCAATTTGGGGCGAGGCAATTTGGGGCGAGGCAATTTGGGGCGAGGCAATTTGGGGCGAGGCAATTTGGGGCGAGGCAATTTGGGGCGAGGCAATTTGGGGCGAGGCAATTTGGGGCGAGGCAATTTGGGGCGAGGCAATTTGGGGCGAGGCAATTTGGGGCGAGGCAATTTGGGACGAGGCAATTTGGGGCGAGGCAATTTGGGGCGAGGCAATTTGGGGCGAGGCAATTTGGGGCGAGGCAATTTGGGGCGAGGCAATTTGGGGCGAGGCAATTTGGGGCGAGGCAATTTGGGGCGAGGCAATTTGGGACGAGGCAATTTGGGGCGAGGCAATTTGGGGCGAGGCAATTTGGGGCGAGGCAATTTGGGGCGAGGCAATTTGGGGCGAGGCAATTTGGGGCGAGGCAATTTGGGGCGAGGCAATTTGGGGCGAGGCAATTTGGGGCGAGACAATTTGGGGCGAGGCAATTTGGGGCGAGACAATTTGGGGCGAGACAATTTGGGGCGAGGCAATTTGGGGGAGAGGCAATTTGGGGCGAGGCAATTTGGGGCGAGGCAATTTGGGGCGAGGCAATTTGGGGCGAGACAATTTGGGGCGAGGCAATTTGGGGGAGAGGCAATTTGGGGCGAGGCAATTTGGGGGAGAGGCAATTTGGGGCGAGACAATTTGGGGCGAGGCAATTTGGGGCGAGGCAATTTGGGGCGAGACAATTTGGGGCGAGGCAATTTGGGGGAGAGGCAATTCGGGGGCGAGGCATGGAGCATGGTGGGAGTGAGTGAGAGCACGCACATGGGTTGAAGTTCTGCAGATGGCTGGATATATCCGCACCACCACCACCACCACCACTGCCACCACCATCCCCACTGTCGCCACCGCCAATTCCATTGCTGTCGATACTAGCACGGCCAGCAGCAGCAGCAGCAGCGGCAGCGGCCGCAGAAGCAGCAGCAGTGGCAGCAGCAGTGGCGGCAGCAGCAGCAGCAGCAGCAGAAGCGCTCGTCTTTGCTGCGGCCGCAGCAGAGCCACTAGCAACACCCGCCCCTCCATCACCGCTGGTGCTGGCAGCAGCACCACCACTGTTACTACCACTGCCGCTGCTGCTGCTTCCACTGCCACTGCCTCTGCCGCTGCCGCCGCCGCTGCTATTGCTGCTGCTGCGGGTCTTATTCAGAACCCCGTCGCCCGTGCAGCTGAGCTCGACCTTGGTGGTATACCACCCGGTGACCTCGTCTGTGGTGTACGCGCCAGGCCCGCCGTCGCCCCCTGTGGCAACCATGGCTAGCGCGCTGGCGCCCTCACGAGCTACTAGCGAGGAGACCAGGTAGTAGCAGGAGCGCGCTGCTTGTGGTGAGTCCAAGGCTGCTGGCGAGACTGTGAGCGTGAGCGACTGGGGGGGAGTGGAGGGGGGGGGGGGGGGGAGGGAGGGATGGATAGGGAGGGTTCAGGCAGCAGAAGAAACGAGCTCAGCGGTGCAGAGAGAAGTGAGATGGTGGGCGAGCGCAGGGGAAGAGCGAGGGGAGAGAGGAGGAGGAGGAGGAGGAGGAGGAGGAGGAGGAGGAGGAGGAGGAGGAGGAGGAGGAGGAGGAGGAGGAGGAGGAGGAGGAGGAGGAGGGGGATGGGGGGGTGGCAGTGGCGCTGGCGCCTGAAGAATTTGTGTCCCTTGCTGCAGGGGTGAGTGAGAGGGTGAGCGGGTGGTTAAGGGAGAGCAGGGAGGGGAAGGGGGAGACCTTATGAGACGTACCAACCGTGGACATGGAATAAGACGGAACGGATGAGTGAAAGGAGGAAAAGAAAACGATGGGGAAAGAAAGGTTGTGTTGGGGTTGCGGGTGGAGGACAAGTGGGCTGCTGCTGCTGCTGCTGCTGCTGCTGCTGCTGCTGCTGCTGCTGCTGCTGCTGCTGCTGCTGCTGCTGCTGCTGCTGCTGCTGCTGCTGCTGCTGCTGCTGCTGCTGCTGCTGCTGCTGCTGCTGCTGCTGCTGCTGCTGCTGCTGCTGCTGCTGCTGCTGCTGCTGCTGCTGCTGCTGCTGCTGCTGCTGCTGCTGCTGCTGCTGCTGCTGCTGCTGCTGCTGGTGTTGGTGCTTGCCTGCTTGTCAAAGGGGAAGCGCTTGAAGTTGAATGCCGTTGAGAACGTGCCTGTGCGAGGGGGACGACGAGGGGAGAGGAGTGGAACAGCAGGAGGAACGCAAAGGGGAGAGGAAGCGAAGTGAGGTGGAGTGGTGAGGTAAAGGAGTGGGGCGAGAGCGGCAAGGCGGAGGGAGAGAGAAATAGGGAGGCAGGAGGGGCGGTGGGGATGGGGATGTTGCACACATAGGCACACGCAGGACACTGCATATGGAGATGCTACGCTTAGGGGAGAGAGAAGAGAGAGAAGAGAGAGAAGAGAGAGGAGAGAGAAGAGAGAAGAGAGAAGAGAGAGAAGAGAGAAGAGAGAGAAGAGAGAAGAGAGAGAAGGGAGAGAAGAGAGAAGAGAGAAGAGAGAAGAGAGAAGAGAGAAGAGAGAAGAGAGAAGAGAGAAGAGAGAAGAGAGCAGAGAGCAGAGAGCAGAGAGAAGAGAGAAGAGAGAAGAGAGAAGAGAGAAGAGAGAAGAGAGAAGAGAGAAGAGAGAAGAGAGAAGAGAGAAGAGAGAAGAGAGCAGAGAGCAGAGAGCAGAGAGCAGAGAGAAGAGAGAAGAGAGAAGAGAGAAGAGAGAAGAGAGAAGAGAGAAGAGAGAAGAGAGAAGAGAGAAGAGAGAAGAGAGAAGAGAGAAGAGAGAAGAGAGAAGAGAGAAGAGAGAAGAGAGAAGAGAGAAGAGAGAAGAGAGAAGAGAGAAGAGAGAAGAGAGAAGAGAGCAGAGAGAAGAGAGAAGAGAGCAGAGAGCAGAGAGCAGAGAGCAGAGAGCAGAGAGCAGAGAGCAGAGAGCAGAGAGCATGCATTGTTCTGAGATGGGGTGCCCCGCCTGCCTGCTGTGGCAACACCTGAAGCGTCTCAAGCCCACTGATTGCTCTCACAGCCTTGCAAAATGTCATCTGTGATGTATACCCACCTCCCCCTGTGCCACTGCTGTGCCGTTGCTGTGGCAGGGCTGTGCCGTTGCTGTGGCAGGGCTGTGCCGTTGCTGTGGCAGGGCTGTGCCGTTGCTGTGGCAGGGCTGTGCCGTTGCTGTGGCAGGGCTGTGCCGTTGCTGTGGCAGGGCTGTGCCGTTGCTGTGGCAGGGCTGTGCCGTTGCTGTGGCAGGGCTGTGCCGTTGCTGTGGCAGGGCTGTGCCGTTGCTGTGGCAGGGCTGTGCCGTTGCTGTGGCAGGGCTGTGCCGTTGCTGTGGCAGGGCTGTGCCGTTGCTGTGGCAGGGCTGTGCCGTTGCTGTGGCAGGGCTGTGCCGTTGCTGTGGCAGGGCTGTGCCGTTGCTGTGGCAGGGCTGTGCCGTTGCTGTGGCAGGGCTGTGCCGTTGCTGTGGCAGGGCTGTGCCGTTGCTGTGGCAGGGCTGTGCCGTTGCTGTGGCAGGGCTGTGTTCTCTGAGTGCCTGCATGCGCACTCACCCTGCAGGCGGACCTGGCGGCCCATGGCGGTGGGACTCGTGAGCGGTGCGAACTGCTGAATCTCGTCTGCATGGGCCCATGGGGGCATGAGCGCATGGGAACATGGGCGCATGGGGGCATGGGTGCGTGGGGCATGGGCGCATGGGCGCATGGGGCAATGATGCGGAGAAGCAATGGAGAGTGAGCGAGAGAGACGGAAGCTAAACACGAAGGCTAGAACGAGAATGGAAGGGGTAGGGAAATGCGAGGTGGAGGTTGGGGCTGGAAGCAAGGCAGCAACATCTGTTGCTCGCACACGGGCTGCACGGTTTAGTGTGTCTGGGGGTGTCAAGAGAGGACAGGTGGGCTGCAAAGGCCTTACTTCCGCCAATCTCATGTCTGGGGGTGTGAGAGTGTGCCTGTGCATGTGCATGCATGCGAGCATGTGCATGTGCATGGGAGCGCACCGGTGATGTAGCGGTCCTGCGAGTACGCGTTGACGTTGGGCACGTGGAAGGACGGCAGCCACACGGCATCGCAGCACAGCTCCGACCCCGGCGCACACCGCTTGCTGCAGGGGGGCGCCACGGGCTGAGACACATGCACACACACACACACACACACACACACACACACACACACACACACACACACGCACACCAAAGGCGGGTGGGAAGAAGAACCAACTTGACAGGCTTGTGCTACACAAGCTGCACGCACACGTTGCCTTGCCACCACCACTGCAGGCACCTGCTTGGTGCTCTGACTCCGACGCACACCTCTGCACGGCACAGCGCTGCCACTGGCTGGGTGGGACACGCGAGCTAGGGGGGAGGGGGCACCAAGGGAGAGGCAGGAGCCGGGAGGGTGGGAACCAGGAGTGTAGGACCCAGGAGGGTAGGACTCAGGGTGTGGACAGGGGCGACGGGAGGGATGATGGGGAGGGGGAGTGAGGAAGGAGGAAAGGCAAGGGAAGGAGTGACGGAGAAAAGGTGACCGCAGAGGGTGGTGAGAGTAGGGGGGGTGCAGGAGAAACGGAGGGTGGTTGGGGGGGAAGTGGAGCAAGTGAGTAAAGGTAAGCGGGTTAAGGAAGGCGGGCGTGACATGAGGAGGGAGAGAGGGTAGGCCGGGGCGGGGCGGGGCGGGGCGGGGAGTACCTTAGTGATGGCGCTTTCACACAGCTCAGCGACAGCAGAGGCGTTCAGGTCGTGGGGGGGACCGCCGCCGGGACCGCCAGGACCACCAGGAGCACCGGGACCGCCAGGAGCACCGGGACCGCCAGGAGCACCGGGACCGCCAGGAGCACCGGGAGCACCAGGAGCACCAGGAGCTTTCAGAGGCGGGCCGCTGCCGTTACCAGCGCCTGTTGTGCCGTTGGCAGCACCAGCACCAGGACCTGCTGCAGGTGCTGGTGCAGATGCCACAGCCAAAATTCGGGAAACACGGTCAGCGCTGCTGCTGCTGGTAGCGGTGGTGGCATTGCCAGGGCTGCTACTATTGATGGCGCTGCTGTTAGAGGTACTGTTGGTACTGCCAGCAGCAGCAGCACTGGGAGCAGCACCGGGCGCAGGGCTAGACCCGTCCGCCGACGGTGCTCCCGTCGCATTTCCCCCTTGCGGAACCCCCTTCCGCTGCGTCCCCGGCGCCCCCAGCGTCCCTGGTGCCCCCTGCGACCCCGGCGCTTGCTCCCCTGCTGCGCCGTTCTGCTCCCCCCACGCGTCTGCGCCCATGTTCCCCACGAGGCGGTCGGAAAGCCGCGCGCACTCCGCCACGCGGTGCTGCTGCTCCGCCAGGCGCGCGTCCCGCACTCCGCGGATGGCGCGCCATACGAGCGGCGCTGCAGGGGGGAAAGCGGGGAGGGGGATGGGGTGGGGGGGGGGGGGGGGAAACGGAGAGGGGGCCGGGGGTGGAGGAGAGTACGGGCACTGAGAAGATCTGCATGTGAGGGTGGGAAGGAAAAGAGCGAGAAGGAAGATCGGAAGGTGAAAGGGACGGGGACTAAGGGCATGGGCGTGAAGCGATGGGCATGGGCATGGGCATGGAAGTGTGAGAAGGAACGGCATGATGACCGACCTCGCGAGTCGACCCAGGACATCATGAGCAGCACCACGGCGTCTTGGGATGGCCATGGGCATAAACACGGGCACGGGCACGGGCACGGGCACGGGCACGGGCACGGGCACGGGCTGGGATGGAGAGACGGACCTCGCGAGTCGACCCAGGACATCATGAGCAGCACCACGGCGTCGAAGCTGTAGCTCTTCTCTGCCGCCCGCCGCACCACGGACACGGGGAGAAACGAAGAAGGCATGCGCCACGCGGGGACGACCGGGGGAAGGCCGGGGAGACACGGGGGGGAAGGTGGAACAACGTTTAGAGGCGGAGAGCGGGGAAGGAGTGGAAAAGCTAGGAGGGGGAGCATATAGCGGAAGGAATAAAGAGCGCACCGTCGACTTTGAGCAGCTTGTGCAGCACGGCGCTCATGAACACGGGCGTGCAGTTGCGCGCCGCGCCCGCCGCCACGGGATCCACGCCCTGCCCCAGCAGCGGCGAGTCCTGCTGCGCGCGCGCCACCAGCACGCGCGACGCGCCACGTGACCATGGCGACGGCGATAGCGACGGAATTTGGAATGGCGATGGTGGCTGTGACGGGGGGGGGAGAGAGGGAGTGTCGCAGAGGAGTAGGAGAAGGAGGAGGAGGGGGAGGCGGGAAAGGGGGAAGTGCGCGGGGTGGTGCTCGCCGCGGCGACATGCTCTGCCGTGTGCGGTTGGGCGCTGGCTCACCGTGGCGGTGGTTTGCGACGAGGGCGCGTGCGACAATGAGGTGTGCGACACGGAGGCGTGCGACAATGGGGAATGCGACGAGGGAAGCCGTGGTGAGGAATGCCAAGGCGTGGCTGCTGATCGTAATAATGTGATGGTGGCGGGTAGGTCTGTCGTTGTGGAGACAGATTTCCTGCGATTATCGCCGAGCGACTCGAACTGCGCAGCTACAGTCGTCGCTACTCTGTGTGGGTATCGCCAGCGCTCGCGCAGGCGGTCGCATGACCCGTCGCATCTGTCGCATTGTCTGTCGCACCTGAACAGATTGTCCCTTTCCACGACGACGTCCATTGAGCTGCTGCTGCTGCAAGCAGCACAATCCTGACTGCTGCGGGAATTTACGAAGCCGCTATCTCTCATTCCCCCCAGTGGTGGAAAACAGAACAATGCGCTGCCTCTAATAATTATGTTCAGCTGCTCCTAGAATAAGCTAGAAGGAAGGATATAGTTCTAGTTTCAATTCGCTCTGGCGAGGGCAACGCCATTGTCCTCTTCAGGCAAGCTCTGCACTGCACTCCTTGGTCGCGGGAACACCTGCACTACACCATCCACTGCAGCAACACTACCCAACCCAACCCAGCCCAAACCAAAACAACCTCCACACAAGCCTAACTCTCTTGACTCAGAAAACGCCACGGCACCAGTCATGCTCGCCATTCCTCCTCCCGCCACCACACTAGCGCATCTGCTCCGCTGACGCTACGCGCCAACTCTCTTCCGCTTCGTAACGAGTTGCCCTTGTCTGGTTGGCTCTGTACTGTACTGCTGTCATGTGTCGAAGGGCATCTTCCTCCCATCACCCACCCATCCTCCCCAATCGCCAACCCCCCCACCCCCTCCGCGCCCCCCTCCCCCTCTTCTGATTTGCTTTCCGCCACCACGAGCGTACAAAGATGCGGAAAGCAAATAGGAAAAGCGCCGACCACAAAGATGCGAAGTTGGGGGGTGAAATGACGAGAAACAAAACTTGTTCGTTGCGACGCGCTTGCGAAAGTATGTTACCGGAACCGAACAGAGACACCTTCGCAGAAACAGCAACATCGACGTGTCGCAGGCCAGTCAAAGGACCAACTTCAAGGTTATCGATCGATGTTCCAACTCCGACCGGAGTCGTTCTCGAATTTCGACCTTTGCGTACGACTTCTTCTCGTCGCTAATTCGCTAATGAATCCTCCAGAATTTTCGCCAGCTGTCGGCAATGCAGCAAGTCGGTTGGATTCAGTGGGGAGGAAAAACAACTTTGGCGCGAATGACGATTGCATTTCCGTCGGTGGGTCAATCTTGACAGTCTAGGGAGACCATTTCTTTGATTGGCTCGCTGTTCTGACCTAGTCAGAACTGTCAGCGGTCGAAAAAAACTATTTTCTGCAGTACAATTGATGCCTGTTTGAAATCCTCCCGGTTGCCTTGTGAAGGGGGTGTATAAGCTGTAACGAGCGTTTCGCATAAGTTTCGTCAGTTCGCAGCTAGCTAAAAAGGATTCGCAGGTGCTTTTAAACAAGATCTGTTACCTTATTTGACTTCAGTCTCTTCTGCTTGACCTCAGTCTGTTCGTTACTATTGGTTGATAACCACGCGACGCGCTTATAACGAGGGAGCAACAGGCTGGGGAAACAACCTCGGGTGCAGCTTTTCCATCCGGCGCAAGGCAAATTCGCGTGCACTGGTTGGGCATCAATTGGATTCCTTGGCGTTGGACGCACCTAAGAGGACGAATCTGAGTGCACCCTTGTTACCAAATTAAAACTGTATTTGCTGTTTAATCTCCTCCTCTTGTATACACGCAAAACCATAGTGGAGTCAGTCAGTGACCTTCCTGCCCTTGAGGCTAACGCACGGGCCGTTGCCTGTAAACACCAGTCCGGCCATCTGAACATCAGTTGTGTATGAAAACAATTGTATTTTGCATCCCTTTTTCGTCGTCCACCAAGCACAGGTGGGCGTAGAAAACTTCTCTACAAGCCCTACTTGATCGTAGATGCTTTGATAATCCCACAGGATCACCATTGATAGGTAAAAGGTGTTGGGCTGAGAAGCCCTAGGATCTTTGTAGAGTTTAAGGACTGAGTAGGATTGTAATAGCGGAAGCGTTGTAATACAGAGTGGTTGAACCACCTTGCACTAGTATGTGAGAGCAAAGTAAGTTAGATTAAACAAGCAAATACAAGGTTTATATAAGAGTACAAGGAATACGAATAGATAGATTTAAACCGTTTTACTGATGCGATTCGATACAGTGCGACTCGGGCAACTGCTCAATGTCGAGTCAGTTGTGTGTCCTTGCTGTCGCGCTGTAATTGTCGAGTCAAAGGTCGCTGACCTTTGACTTTCCCGTAACCTCTAGGCGGTTACCCTAACCTCCGAGGGTTGACTCGCGATGCTTCGATTTGGGCTGCTTCGCTAGTGTCCTGAGTTTCGACACGACAGAGGCACCTTAAGACTTATTTGTTCCCAACACTCCCCTTCGCTTCTGGAGTGTCGCTGATGGTGACGTGGCCTTGTCCAGTCAGCATCATGCAGTACTCGAACTTATGTTTTCCGAGTTTCTTTGTCAAATAATCGGCTGCCATCTCGGACGTGGGACAGTAGGATAATTCGAGTTTCCCTTTCTCGATTTCGTCCTTTACGAAGAAGTATCGCAGAGCGATATGCTTCGTTCTGTTCGCGAATCCGCTTTTGTTGGCGATGCGAATTGCAGATTGGTTGTCGCAGAACAGGGTGAAGTTGGGTAACTCGGCTAACTTTGCTTCTTCCAGCAGCTCGCGAAGGTAGAGTCCTTCCTTGGTGGCTGAGCAGAGGGCAATATATTCTGCTTCAGCTGAAGAGAGAGCGATTAGTTCCTGCTTACTCGACTGCCAGGAGATAGGCCCGATAGGCTCGAGACGATAGACGTAGCCGGTACGAGAACGCCTGTTATCAGAATCGCCGGCATGGTCAGCATCGACGTAGCCGATTAGTTTCGCCGTTGTAGCTTCGCCCTTGTAGTAAGTTAGGCCGATCGTCGGTGTGCTCACGAAGTAGTGCAGTGCGCGATCGAGCTCCGCCATGTGCTCAGCTTCGGGTTTCTTGAGATAGGTGGCGAGTTGACTCGCGGAGTAGGATAGATCCGGGCGACAGGTTACGGCTGCGAAGAGGAGGCAGCCTAGTTTCCTCTGGTAGTCTCGTATTCCGGCAGCCTTAAGTGGAGCAGGATTTCCTTTGCCGCTTCCTGTAGTGTGGCGGTATGGCGTGGCGATGGCGGTAGGCGTGAGAGAGAAGCGCTTGGCGATAGTGTCGGCGTATTTCTCGGCGTTGAGGTAGATAACATTTCCTTCTTCGCGGATGTTGAGCCCGAGATACTGGGTGACGGTGGAGGAGACGGTGAGCGTGAGGTCCTTCTGCAGCTCCCCTTCGAACCAGGTGATGACGTCGTCGGTAGAGCCGATGTAAAGCAAGTCGTCGACATAGACGATCAGTAAGATGTAGTCAGCGCCTTTGGTGAGGCGATACATTCCTTGGTCGTGAGGCAGTTGTCGGAATCCGATGCGGGTGAGGCGGGTGTGTAGGTGCTGTTGCCACAGTCGCGGGGCTTGTTTGATTCCGTAGAGCGATTTGAGTAGTTGACAGACTTGGTTGGGGTTTCCGTGAGTGCCGTGTGGGAGTTCGACGAAGATGTTTGCGTCGACGGGTGCGTAGAGGAATGCGTTGGCGACATCGATCTGTTGCAGCTTCTTCTTCTTCATGGCGGCGACGGCGAGAAGAATGCGGAGAGAGGTATGTCGACTAACTGGGGCGAAGGTCTCGGTGAAGTCTCGTCCTTGTTCCTGGTCGAATCCACGCACGACCCAGCGTGCTTTGAACTTCTCGATTGTGCCGTCAGCTTTCGTCTTGATGCGGAAGACCCATTTCCCGGTGAGAATGGTCTTGTTCCGTGCCACGCTTGCGGGAACGACCTTCCAGGTGTTGCGTTCCTCCAATGCCTTTAATTCCCTGTCCATGGCTTCACGCCATTTTTCACTGTGTTCCCCCCCCCAGAGCCTGCTGAACTGTCGCAGGCTCTTTAGGAAGAGTGTTGCCGGCGGTCCCGTGGACTGCGGTGACGAGGCCAAGGATTTGTAGCCCAGTCTGTGAGTATCGAGGGAGTTCTGGATCCTCGGGATAAGCTGCTTCGTCTCCCGCTTCTGGGTCGGGGATGAAATTTGGCCCTATCCTTTCTGCTTCGTTGGTGTTGACTGTCGCAGGTGTTACGTAACCGTTGTCGGCGAAGTGGTAGAAGACTTCGGCGTTGTTACTGTCGCGAGGATTATCTTCATCCATGGGCACATCGACGGAGCAGTACGGGAGAGGTCCGGCTTCCTCCGATGCGTTGTCGACGTTCTGTTCATCCCAGTCTGCTTCGTCCGCTGCTGAGGCGAAGGCTCGGTCACCACGAAAGCCACCTGTGGGGTCCCGATTCTCGTGCAAGTTGGCGAGGTACGTCTGAAGGGTGAGTCGTTCGTAGAAGATCACATCACGTGCTGCTACTGTTTCTTTTGTGTGGACGTCGAAGATTCTCCACGCGTTGTAATTTTTCTCGATGCCGAGGTGTAGTCCCCACTGTGCCCGTTGCGAAAATCTTCCCGCTCGTGCTTCTGGGGGTCGGTACTGTACCATGCACCCAAATACTCGTAACATTTTTGTGCTGCCCTGCTTTCCTGTCCACAGCAGATGCGGTGATGCGTTGTTCGGGAGTGACGACGACGAAAGCAAGTTGTGCAGCATTACAGCATGGTCCATTGCTGCTGGCCACTGGTGGTTGGGTAGCCGCATGCCACGTAGTAGTTTGCGCATGCTGTTCTGCAGGGTCCTGTTCATTCTTTCTGCAACACCCTGCTGCTGATGTGCGTAGGGAAGGGAGAGGAGTTGCTTGATCCCCCTTTCCGCCAGGTACTGCTTGAAGCGCTGAGAGGTGTATTCGCCACCTCCGTCTGACTGGAAGCTTTTCAGCTGCGTTCCTGATTCCCTTTCTGCTACCGGTAGCCAAGCGGCAAATGCTGCGAGTGCCATGTCGCGGCTGGGTAGGTTGCGATGCCAGACGTATCGAGTGGCGGCGTCGATGAAGGTAATCGTGTAATTATAGGTTACTTGGCCTGGTTCTCGATTGTAGAGGATGTCGCTGTAGACTTTTTCGAGTGGTGCGTATGCAGGTGCGCTCGGGTTGTGGTGAGAAGAAAAAGGTCGATGTGGTAAGTCGGCCTCGGGGCAGATGAGGCAAGTCCCCCGTGCACGTTGAAGTTCTCTGCCGTCGAGTAGTAGTAGCGAGTCTTTGTCTAGCACTCCTGCTCGTATCGTATTATTTAACACCGTGTTACTTGGATGTCCTGTGCGTGCGTGCCAGATGTCTTCGGAGGCGCGGTGTCCGGGTGAACGTTGATATGCGTCGGAGTTGGAGTAGAAGCTGGCGACGAAGTTGGCGCTGCGGTGGACTTCTCGTTGAGTCGGGTTCAGCTGTTGTGCGGCTGTTGGTGGTGCTTCGTCGACGATGACTGGTGTCGTTGTTCCTGCTGCTGCCGATGTTGTTGCTGCTGCCGATGTTGTCTCTGCTGCTGCCGATGTTGTCTCTGCTGCTGCCGATGTTGTCTCTGCTGCTGCCGATGTTGTCTCTGCTGCTGTCGATTGTTGAATTGTTGCTAATGCTCGTGTTCGCTCTGCTTCAGGGATGGTGTGTGAGTACCAGAAGCCTCCTGGACTGAAATCATGATCGAGGTCCGGAGGGTGTGTCCAATCGGTTAAGTTGACGATGGCGTCGCTGTCTGCAGTGCCCAGGTCGGGGACAAAGTCAAGAACGAAGACGTTATTCTTCAACACTGCTTTCCCGATGTAGAGGCCGCCCCTCCCGTGGTATAACTTAAATTCCTGGGTGGTGCTGTCGGCTTCCAAGTGAATCCCCTTCGCCATCAGCTGGCTAACACTCAGTAAGTTGTAACCGAGTCCTTCTGCGATGAGTACTTTTGACATGTGTAGTATAACGTTGGTCTCTCTTGATTGAAGCTGAACGACTCCTTGTCGTCTTGTGCGCAGGTTCTGGTTGTTGGCGACCGTGATGACTACTTCTCGCTGGAGTCGATGTTCGCGTTGTACGAAGCGCCCGGAGGAGCACATGTGTTGTCCGCAGCAACTATCCAAGAACCAAGTGTCTTGGCCGGACGGTTCGCTTTGAGCGATGGCGGCGTACGTCGGATTCGGCTGGAGTGATTCGCGGCGAGGCGTCCTGTTGTCGAGCTCCTCTTCTGGTGAGTAGTAGGGTGGCGACTCTGTAATGCAGGAATCGTTTATTTTTACCATGCAGTTGACGATGCTTCTTGCTCCTTGTGCAGGTTGTCCAGTTGAAGTCGTTGAAGCTTGGATCGTGGTTTTCGGACTTGCTTGCGTTGAAGCAACTTGGGAGCTTGAAGGCCGGAGTTGTCGCTGTGATGTTGTCGACTGCTGACGAGACGGGCAGTGTGTGCGGGGATGACCCGAGGTCTTGCAGATGTGACAAAATGGAGGTACCGTCTTCACTTGTTGCTGTTGTCGATTGTTGTGTCGTCGCTGAGTGTGAAACGCAAACTCTGGTGCTAATGTTTTCTTCTTGTGCCTTTCTTCTTGCAGGTCCATATCCTGCTGCTCAGCGTGGATTTCGGCGCAGAGTGCCGCTTCGGAGATCCTCCCGTGTGCTTGTAATATGGCGCGAGTGGAGCGCCAGTGGGGGCCGAGACCGCCGATGACCACCGTGACAAAGGCGTCTTCTGAAATTGACCCGCCGCATCGAAGAAGCTTGTCGCGCAGTTCGCGGCAGCGGCTGATATAAGCCATGCCTTTCTCGCCTGGTTTCATTTCAATCGTTGTCAACTGCGCCATTAACCTGCTTTGGTTTACGCTGTCTGTTGCTTGATACAGGTTCTTCAGGTGGTTGTACGCGAGCTCCGCGGAGTTGCCGTAGCCTCGGTAAGTCCTGATGTTCTGCTGCTGGGTTGGGGTGATGTTCCTCAGCAGAATCGTGTACGCCATCATCGATTGATATGTATACTGCTGCTTCTCATATTGTGTCCCGTTTGTCGGATATGGCAGGGACCCGTCGAAGAAGCCAAGAATCTGTGCTCCTTCCATCATCAGTTCAAACTCGAACGACCAGGTAAAGAAATCTTTGCCGTCGAAAGGCTTTGTCGTTTGTAGTTTTAGGACGTGCGCGAATTGCGATTGGAGTTGTAACGCGTCCAATGTCCTTTCTTGTCCCGATGCAGGTTGCGGTTGCGGCATGAAGCTGACGGAGCCACGTTGGGGCTCGTACGGCGCAAAGGTAGGCTGCTGTTTTTGTTGTTGCATCCCGCGTGCATAGGATGAGCCGTCGAGGCTCATCGGAGTAACATTGTTGTTGTTGTTGCTGTTGTTTGACTACGCAGGCACTCCTTGCTGGTGTTGCTCGTAGAAGGACATGAAGGAGAAAATTTTCTCCATCATGTTTGAATCGAAGCCTGCTGGTGTTTCCGTGGACCCAGCTGCTGGTCTTGCGGTGGTGCCTTCCCCTGTCTGTAGGCCAGAGGCAGGAGGTGGAGTAGGAGTAGTGCCTGGGGAGCCGTTGGAGGAGCTCCTCTCCTTCCTTGCAGACATGTCTTCTTTCTTTGTATTGAAGTATTGAGAGAGAAAATGATCTTAAACTCTAAATGCTCTCATACCATGTTGGGCTGAGAAGCCCTAGGATCTTTGTAGAGTTTTAAGGACTGAGTAGGATTGTAATAGCGGAAGCGTTGTAATACAGAGTGGTTGAACCACCTTGCACTAGTATGTGAGAGCATAGTAAGTTAATTAAAACAAGCAAATACAAGGTTTATATAAGAGTACAAGGAATACGAATAGATAGATTTAAACCGTTTTACTGTTGCGATTCGATACAGTGCGACTCGGGCAACTGCTCAATGTCGAGTCAGTTGTGTGTCCTTGCTGTCGCGCTGTAATTGTCGAGTCAAAGGTCGCTGACCTTTGACTTTCCCGTAACCTCTAGGCGGTTACCCTAACCTCCGAGGGTTGACTCGCGATGCTTCGATTTGGGCTGCTTCGCTAGTGTCCTGAGTTTCGACACGACAGAGGCGCCTTAAGACTTATTTGTTCCCAACAAAAGGAAAGAGATTCCAGAGCAACTTCACTAATGCGAGGGCCAACAAGAGCAAAACTGGCCTCTTTGTACAACATGGAACTAGCACTTCATTTGGACAGCCAGGTCCTACCAGCCACCTCTCACTTACGAACCTCCAAGAGACCGTCGAACCAGCCCGTAGTAAAACCCTCCTGTAGCACCCGGAATCGCCAATATCCCTTTTTCGCTTATCCTGTCCACATTCCTCGCAGCCTCCTCCCTCAATGCACCAACCACCCGCCCGAAAAATCCCTGCTGTGAATTCCTCTCGGCCATCTCACCGCCACTGGCACTATTACCAGCAAACCCATAGCCTCCAGTGCTGCTCACCCACCCCTCATCTGCGCCAGTGCTGCCACTCCACTCCCCCATCGCCTTCTGCCCCCACAGACCTGCCTCCTCTGCCGTCGTCGCCCTCCGGGGCGACTGGCTGCCACTGCCCCCCTCCCAGCCCCCTTTCGCAGGCCTTGCCTCCATCATCATAGAGTCGCCTGACGTCGCCCTCCTCCTGTCCATCCCAGCACCGCTGGGAGGAGGCTCATAAAGCTCAGACTGCACTAACTCCTCGTGCTGCCCAGGCTGCTGCCCAGGCTGCTGCTGGGGGGAAATGTCCCACTGCATACTCCCCCATCCTGCTGCTGCTGCCACTCCAGGCGAGTGATTAGCGGAGAGGAAAGCGGAATCGCCTCGATCTGCTGCGAAAGCACGGCCGGGGGCTGAAGAGAGCGGCGATGGAGAGAGTTGATGAAGTGGAGTGCCAAGGGGCTGGGTCCACAGCCCTGGTGATGATGCCACTGACGGCCCAGAGGCGCTAGTACCAGGAGGAGAACCCTCACCCATGTCCACGCTAGCGCTGCTACCAGCAGTGGATAGAGGGGAGCTCAACAGTAGTCCTGCTCCCCCGCCCGAACCTCCCAGCCACGACCCCGCCTTCCCAGAGGCCGTGGCAGCAGCGGCAGCAGCGGCCGCAGCGGGAGAAGCAGGAGAGAAAAGCTCCGGAGACGCAGGCGAGGGCTCGATAGTCTCCTCTATCTCAACCACGCTGGGCCGCCGGCTGTGCCGCCCGCTGCGTCTCGACGGCCGGCTGCGTGCCACGTCATCTATCCTTTTCTCTGAACCGCCCTCCTTAGAGCCCTCTGCCGCCCTGGCACTGAGTGCCTCCCATTTGGCACGGGTCGCCGCGACCGTACTACCACTGTTACCCTCCAGGATGCACCCACCAGTACCTCTTGCTCCTGCTTGTGATTCTGCCGTTGGCGCTGCCACCATGGTCTCCGTCACGGCGGTCAGACTCGACTCGCTCTCAGCAGGCCTCAGATGATCGCCAGCAGAACGGCCTGCACCTCTCTCCTCCTTGGTCGCATTGCTAGATTTGTCAAAACCCTTCTCTGATATGCTGCGCTCCTCTCTATCACCTTGCCAGCTCCCCTCCCGCTTCCCCAGAGGACTTTCCCTGACTGCTCCCCCTCTTCCTCCCCCTCCTGCGTTCCCCATCCCCACATCCAGCCCAGAGCTCCCCTCCCCGCCTTGCGTCCCCACCCCCACCTCCACACTCTCGGGCAGCACGGCCCTTTCCGCCTCGTCTTCCCCGCCAGTGGGAACCAGGACAGCAGCGGCAGTACCGGCAGCGGGAAGGCTCGTAGCGAGGGCTGCAAGCCCGCATGGCTCGGACACCGCTGCAGTTGGAAGTGCTGGACCGCTGCTAATAGTGCTGCGCGCACTGTTCGCTTCAGTGGGCTCGTTCAGCGAATCCCGTGACTGTGTTTTTTTAGTTGGAAACGTTGCATGGAAGTCCAGGCGCAAGTCAAGTCTCTTCCTGGCCGTAGGCTCCCGTGCCTTTCCCGCCTCCCCCACATCTTCCGCCGTCCCCCCTTCCCCCGCCTTCACCACCGCCACCGCCTTCACCGCCTCCACCGCCGCCAGCCACACCCGCTCCCACTCCGCTGCGTTCTCTCCCACTGGTGCCCCAACGCCCTCTCCACCGAGAGGCTTCCCCTCCCGGTGAGGCGGCTCCGGCACAGCTCCGGTTGTATTGCTACTCACGAGTCCTGAAGGCATTTCTGCTGCTGGTGCCAGTGCTGGTTGTGATGTCTGTGCCTGTGCCTCAGGCCCAGCAAAAACGGCGGCTGCAGCTCTCGCACTTTTTTGGCCCGTTTTCGATTCCTCGTTAGTAGTGATCGTACGAGGTTCCTGTTTATTGCTGTCGACAATCGTTCTCATGCTGCCCTCCCTGCTCTCCCTCGATCGCAGCCACTCAAGAGCAGCCAGGGGGCCGTCTCGCTTCATGCGCGCCTCGAGCGCGTCCAGCTCTTCCCCCAGCGCCAGCACGCGCACGTCCTGCACGCGCGCGTACCCGCGCAGGCGCTCGTGCTCCGCGCGCTGCTTCTCGTAGCGCGCGTGCAGCGCGCGGTAGGACCGGTGCGCCTGCTCCAGCATCGACACCACCGGGCGCATGCGACTGCAGCAAAGAAATAGGGATGGGGGGACGGGAATCTTCGGAAGGGCACTCCCCCGCCGAGGCGGGGCGGAATTGGCGCAGACCTCGACACAAGTTCAGCGGACCCTACGATACAGTGGCGGAAAGGGAAGGGCGGAATGACGATGGCATGAGGTTTGAGGGGAGAGAAACGGGGGAAACAGAGACTCAGGGCGACACACGCATGCTATTTTTGACGGCGTGTAAGTAGGAAACTAGTGATGATTGCAGCACATGGTGTATACAAGTATGTCTGTTTGGAAATTCTCTGTCTGAAATATATTACTGCAGAAACGAAAAACTCAGATGTGAGTGCAGCCCACCTCTCAATGATCGCATCTCCCTCACGCCTCAGCGTTTCCTTCAACGCCAGTACCGTCGTCTCCTCACCTCCCGATCTGTTCTCCCCTGATGTCGCGTCGCGTTTAATAGACTCCAGGCTACCACCACGATTATCGGCCTCTGCAACCGCAGCAGCAGAAATTATTCCAGGCCGAGGCACTCCAGGCAAGTCTGAGCCGAGCGCATTCTCTAATTCGTTTCCACCATTATCATCCGATAATTCGGAGTCCGACCCTACGTCGGAATCATACCCGCTATCCATAATTCCCGAAAAAGAGGGAACGATGTTCCTTGCCTGAAAAAAAAATCCTCCTTGCCTGCGTCCTATTATAACCGAGCCCACTACCCCCTTCGAAAGGAATGCCAACAATCCTCCCCTGGTCTTCCTTCTGCTCGATCTAAACAAGCGCCATGAAAAATCACGGATCCAGAGGTGAGACAGGTGCCGTGGACTGATCAATTCTCATTTCAGGTTTCGCAGGGGCCCAGCAAAGGAGGCCGTTGAATTTCGTCCGAGGCGCCCAATGTTGGATCGTGCGAAAACCACGACCGAGTCGCGATATGTTCACATGCACAGAGGGTCGAGAGTCAATTGAGTACCAAAACTGAGCACGTGGCGTCATGTAAGAGGCTGGCACTGTTTTCAAAGCACAGGCTGTACTAAAGATACATGAACTTCAATATTGAAATTCCACACTTTCATCAACCATGTCATCACTCACATTAACACACTCCCACACATCCATAGCCTTCTCTCTAAATATGGCACATTACTGTTGGGACAAGCCCTTGGCACAAGCATAAAGCAAAGACAGGCACATAAACAACCCTACACTAATACCACATACACTAAGTACACACACATAACCACAAGTCAGTCATCCTTGGTCGCAAGCAGAGACCCAGACGCCCACTGACGCCACAACCTCTGCTTCCTCTGCTTCCTGCTTTGCTCCGCCCTCTCATCCCGAGGATCAACCCGAGCGCTAGCAGCATCAGCGGCAGCAGCAGGGCCAGCAGCAGCAGGGGAGCGGAAGGAGAGCCAGGAGAAGAGGCGGCGGTGGTCGAGAAGCTGCCGCTGCCGCTGCTTTGCTGCTGCTGCCATGCGTGCTATGGCCTGCGTGGCCAGCACCCCCACCTGTTACAGTTGACAGTTACAGTGGCAGATTGATATTGAGGGAAGCACGGTTAGGGTGCAGGCAGAGGAGGAGAAGAACGTGGGGGGGGGGGGGGGGGGGGGGGACGAGAGTGGGAGACGAATGGGGGAGGGGAGGAGGGAGAGCAAAGAAAAAGTGGAGAGGGAAGGAGAAGAGGAGGAGAAGACGGGGAGAAGGCAAGGGAAGCAGACTACTGGAGGGCTTGGAAAAAAAGGAGATACTTATGAGAAGGGGTGGGGTGAGTTTGGGGCAAAGAGGGGGAGAAGCAGGGGGGGAAGTGGGCCCAAGAGAGGAACATACCTTGAAGGTCTTAATGGCGTCGACTCGCGAGTGGTCGAGCACCCTCTCGCCCGTGTGCGAGACACTGACAAAGTCGTCGTACTCGCTGCCCCACTGCACCTCCCCATCATGCACGTAGTAGTCCTGTGTGGTGGGGAGGAAGGGGGCGAGCGTAGGAATGTGAGGGTGACGCAGGAAGGTAGGCAGCGCACAGTGAACCACAGTCCCCAGCCCTGCCTAGCACAGTGACTCCCCCCCCAAACGCCAGCACACGCCAGCTTAGCACGGGCGAGGCGAGGCGAGTGTGGCATGGACGCCCTGATGTTGGTGGTGAGTGAAATAAGAAAACAGGCGCGGCGAGGGTCGAGAGGCGAGGGGCGAGGGTCGAGGGTCCAAGGGAGCAGAAGCAGCGCACCTGGATGTGGAAGTAAGACGGGCTGTATGGACGCCCTCCTCTCAACTGTTGAGGTGGCTCACAAGCAGTCAAGGGTTTGGGGTTCGCAGTGCACGCACCTGGATGTGGAAGACGGGCTGCATGGACGCCCTGTCGGTGCCCGAGACGACAAGGGCGAAGCTGGCATCGCCTGCTTGCAGCGAGGCTGGCGTGTGTCCCCACAGGGGGCTGCTCTCGTCCACTATGTGCCGCACACTCATGCCGTACTGCAGGTATGGCACCTGGTGGGGGGGGAAAGGGAAGAGCGGGGAAGTGGAAAGGGTGAAGGGGGAAGGGGAGGAATGGAAAAGGTGTATTGTGAGTCGGCATAGAACCCACACAAGAGGCTGCTCTCGTCCACTATGTGCCACACACTCATGCCGTACTGCAGGTATGGCACCTGGTGGGTGGGGGGGAAGGGGGAAGGGGGAAGGGGGAATGGGAAGGGGGAAGTGGAAAGAGTGAAGGGGGAAGGGGGAGGGGGAATGGGAGAGGTGTATTGTGAGTCGACATAGGGCCCAGAGAAGGCTGGCGTGTGGCCCCACAGGAGGCTGCTCTCGTCCACTATGTGCCGCACACTCATGCCCCCACCTTGCCCCCACCTTGCCCCACATTCCCCAGCATCCCCTCCCCCTTTCTTCCACGCACCTGTCCCTTGACGACTGGCAGGTCGTGCACAGAGCAGAAGACAGAGCCAGAGGGCAGCATGTGGAAGCAGCGGAAGGTGAGCGACACCTGTGCATCCACCAGGTCGCATGGCGCCGGGCCCGTCAGCACAAAGCGCGCTGAGAATACGCTGCAGAGAGGGGGGAGAGGGGTGATGTGCGGGAAGGGGGATCGGAGGAAGAGGAAGAGGAAGGGGGAAGAGGTGGGACCGAGAGGGGATGGCACGGGAGGGGATAGGACACGTGAAGAGACGGGCTGAGGACTGGGGGGTTGAGGGGGCAAGACAGAAGAGGGCAGCATGTGGAAGCAGCGGAAGGTGAGCGACACCTGTGCATCCACCAGGTCGCATGGCGCTGGGCCTGTCAGCACAAAGCGCGCCGAGAATACGCTGCAGAGAGGGGGGGAGAGAGGGGTGAAGAGGGGTGAGAGAGGGCGGAAGGGGACAAGGGATGTGGGAGGGACGTGGGGAGAAGGTGGGGGAAAGGGAGGAGGAAAGGGTTGGGGGAATGGAAAGGGATGGCACAGGAGGGGAAGGGACGGGAGAAGAGACAAGAGGGTAGAAGAAGAGATGGGTTGAGGAATGCGGAGCGGTTGAGAGGACAAGACGAGTGCTCAGTGCTCTGAAATCAAAGTCTTGGAAGTGTTCTAGTGGTTCACATAGGTTGAGAGGCATGGAGAGGAAAAGAGGAGGATGAGGGGGATATACATATACCAATGAAGGACCATTCAGGAGAGGGTGAGGGGGATGGGGAGGAGGATTGGGAGGAGAATTGGGAGGAGGATGGGGAAGCAGAAAAGGAGGATGGGGATAAAGATGGGGGGGAGGAAGAAGAAGAGGGGTGGGGAGAAGGAGGATGGGGAAGCGGAATAGGAAGAGGATGGGGATAAGGATGAGGAGGGGTACGAAGAAGGGGTGTGGTGAGGAGGAGGAGGATGGGGAAGGCAGGCAGGTACATACCGGACTCGGTCTGGGGGAGCAGCAGCAGCAGCAGCAGAATCAGACGCCTTGGCAGAGGCAGCAGCAGCAGAGGAGGGCAGGGCGAATGCCTGATCGGAGATGAGAGCGGTGCAGGAGCAGCGCACTGGCTGCGATGGCACTGACATGCGCGCAAACACTGCCCGGGGTGGGGGGAAGGCGGGGTGCATTGGGGTGGGGTGGTGGGCGGGTGGGGGTGGGCGGGGTGGATGAGGGAGGAGTTAGAAGGTGATTGGGAGCAAGGACGAGGGGAGGGGGGGGTAAGCAAGAGAGGAAAGGCAAGGCCGTTAGAAGCAAGAGGATGGCTTGTAGGGCGACAAAAGGGGGTTGGGGATATGTGTGGGGTGGGGTGAGGATGGGGGTGGGACGGAAGATAGGGAAGCAAAGGCGAGATTGTGTAACGGACGTGTCATCATCAGGCGATCCAACTCGTGCTCCAAGGCGTGTGTGCGTGTGAGGGTACAAGTGGATGTGCAAGCAAGATTGTGAGGCCGCAGGGGAAGAGAGGGAGGGAGGGAGGGAGGGAGGGAGGGAGGGAGGGAGGGAGGGAGGGAGGGAGGGAGGGAGGGAGGGAGGGAGGGAGGGAGGGAGGGAGGGAGGGAGGGAGAGAGGGAGGGAGGGAGGGAGGGAGGGAGGGAGGGAGAGAGGGAGGGAGGGAGGGAGGGAGGGAGGGAGGGAGGGAGGGAGGGAGGGAGGGAGGGAGAGAGGGAGGGAGGGAGGGAGGGAGGGAGGGAGGGAGGGAGGGAGGGAGGGAGGGAGGGCGGGAGTGAGTGCGTTAAAAGTAGGGGGAAGTACCAGCGCCGGAGAGGAAGACGAAGAGGAACTGTGCGAGGAGGGTGTTGAGGTTGGCGAGCACGAGCGTGTAGGGCGAGTGCGCTGACACTGGCGAGCCTCCAAACGTGGTGGACAGCGACACACTGGCGGAGGGTTAGACGAAGAGGGGCGAGAGAGGCGAGAGGGATGAGTGAGAGGGGCGGGGGGCGAGAGAGGCGAGAAAGGCGAGAAGGGTGAGTGAGAGGCAAATCGACGCCTCAAAAGGCCAGGGGTGGTGTGTGTGTGTGTGTGTGTGTGTGTGTGTGTGTGTGTGTGTGTGTGTGTGTGTGTGTGGCAATGGCATGCATACGAGTAGAGGAAGACGTTGAGGATGATGAGGAGAGTGCGCTGCACGGTGGCGAGGCAGAGCACACAGGTGGAGGTGGTGAGGGAGAGCAGTGTCACGAGCACACTGTGCAGCCGAGGGGACAGCGCGTAGAGGAGGGGCGTGTGACGGGGGGAGGAGGAATAAGAGGACGAGGAGGAGGGATAGCAGGTGGTAGATGGGCAGTGATGCTCGTGGCAGTTTGGCTGCTGCTGCTGCTGCTGCTGCTGCTGCTGGTCGTGGTAATGCTGCTGCGGCTGCTGGTGGTGGTAGGGAAGGCTGTGCGTTTCGAGGTCTAGCTGATACGGCTGCTCCTGCAGTTCCGGCTGCTGCTGCTGCTGCTGCTGCTGCTGCTGCTGCTGCTGCTGCTGCTGCTGCTGCTGATGTCGATCAGGACTCGCCTCCAACTGGCTCGCAAATGGTTCGTCCAAGTGAGAATGAACGAGCGAGTGAGGGTACGGGTGAGAGTGAGAGTGAGAGTGAGTGTGGGAGTGAGTGAGGGGGTGAATGGGCGGCAGGATGCCATCTTCGAACTGCAGGCCGCCCACGCCGAGCAGGAAGAGCGGCGTGAAGAGCAGGCTGAGGGCGATGGGCGCGGCAAACACTGCCACGAAGAACGCCAGCGGCGGCATCTGCGGGGTGGTGTGTGTGTGGTGTGGAGCGGTGTTAACGATGGGATGATGAGGCGCGGTGAATGAGACAAGAGAAGGGAAGGGAAGGGAAGGGAAGGGAAGGGAAGGGAAGGGAATTGAAGGCAAGGCATGGGTAAGAAGCGTATGGACGTGACGTGACCTTGAGGCAGGTAACACAGACATCGGTTAGCGCACGGGAGAGGCGCGTGTCGTGTCATGCGTGACCCCAATGAGGCAACTCCCAAAAGCGAGTCGAATCATCATTAAAAAAAAAAGCCCACCTTGAGGCAGGTGACGTAGACGTCAGTTAGAACGGAGTAGAGACGCACGCTGTGCATGCACAATACGAAAGAGGCAATTCTGTGTGAACTGCCTAGAGTGAGTCGAGTCGACTCATCGAAAGGCGCCCACCTTGAGGCAGGTGACGTAGACGTCAGTTAGCACGCAGTACAGGCGCGCGTCATGCGTGATTCGAATGCTCTCCACGCTCATGCGCCCCCGCGGCTTGAACAGCGCTGCTGCTGACATGGCAGGCGGAGCGGGAGGGGGAGGGGACCGCGGGGGAGGCGCAGCAGTGGTAGGAGGGGGAGTCGGGGGCGGGTACCCATCGTCAAACTCCCCTGCCTCCTCTTCCGCCTCTTCCCCCTCTTCCCCTTCTTCCCCCTTTTGCTCCCCCCCCTCCGCCTTAGCTCTTTCCCCTGCTTCTCTCGCTCCTATCCTCTCTCCCTTTCCATCGCCATTGAAAGCAGCAGCAGCACCCTTACCACCACCACCATCACCATTGGCACGAATGGCTTGTCCTAAGTTCTCTCTCACTTTCGCTCGCACTACTCCCCATCCTCTCCCCCTTCCCTGCACGCGCTCCCCATACTCTCGCCCCCATGCCACCTCCTCGCTGGCCCTTACTCCATCCACCATTGAACCATCCTCCTCACCCTCACCATCACCACTCACCATCCACCCATTTCTCCCCTCTCCTTCCTCACCAAGCTTCTCCCAAATTTCTCCCGCAACCGTTCCCCCGCTCTTCCCCCCATCTTCCCCCTCATCCCCCCATTCAGCCACGGTGTGCAGCCCTGTCTCCCCCGCCCCCCCTGCGACGCCACCCGGCATCCTCCCCGTGGCGTCCTCGCTAGGAAAGCCCTCCTGTTCCGCTGAGGCAACACCACCACCATCAATATCCGCATCAGCAGCAGCAGCAGCAGCAGCAGCAGCAACATCGGCGCCAGCATCACCACCACCAGTTGCGGCGGCGGCGGCGGCGGCGGCGGTGGCGGCGACGACGGTGTTGGCGACGCCTGTGAGCGTGTCGTCCACCTGTCCCAGCTCGTCCATCGCCGCTGCCGCGTTGCGCGACGCCATCGCCAGCTGTCGCCCGCACGGACGACAGAAGAGAGGGAAAAAGGGAATGGATGAGGGAAAGGGGGAGGAGGATGGAGGGCGGAGAGAGGAGGAATAGGCGGTGAACCGACGTGTAAAGCAGACGGAGGAATGGCACAAGACATAATGCAGAAGGGATGACTTGATGGATCGATGCGCGAGCATCGTAGCTTAATCATCATCATCGGCGGCAGGAGCACCGCTCAACTAGCCTAGGTCCATTGTCGGCATTAGAGCTTGCTGCAAATCGACCCGCCACTAACTTTAGAGCAGCAGCAGCAGCAGCAGCGCTGAGACCATGACAACATCGTACCCGCGTGGAGAAGGAAACCACATTGCCTAGTCGCCTCCATCTATGGCTCGCGGAAGGCGCGTTCGTGCCACCGTCACGACGACCGCTGCTGTTACCGCTGTTGTTAGCGCTGCTGCTAGAAGCGGTGCTGCCAGGGGCATCGTCCTTGGCGCTGCTTTCGTTGCTGGCGATATCACCACTGCCAGGAACACTGCGGGGAGAAAAATCTCCATTCCAGAAGCCCGTATCTCCGGCCGCATTGTCTCGCAAGGCCGCCTGCCCAGTCGCGGTTGAACGTTCGCGAGTCGCTAGTAGCGGCGCCATGATTCCTGAATCGGCCCTGAAATTGCCTGTGTCAATTGTCCAGGCGGAAACGCCCTCAGGTCTCATCGCTGATGGTACTAGCGGTACTTATGGCTTACTGATAGTGCTCTGCGGAAAGGTCTGTGTTGAAATCTGACAGTGCCGCTGGTGGGATTTACAGGGAGAGGACAGTTGCAAAACAATCTGACCAGGACAGAATAAAACAAATAATGTGCTGGCAGTGGCGATAACCTCTGACGATACTTCTTACTGTCCAGCAAAGCAACGGAGAGCTGCGTGGGATCTACCTCTCTAGTGGTGAGACCTGACACCTGACTAAGAAAAAAATGTTCTCAATACATGGCGGGTCCAACTTTTCACACTCCCGTTTTTTTTCGTTTTTTTACGTCAATGCACTAGTCAAACTTGACTGTACCCCAGTGCGAACTCCAAACATTTCCTTTCCAGTTCCGAGTGCACAATTCGGACTTTTGACAAGGTACAGTAACGCTGCGGGGTACAGTACCTAGAATGAGGGGCTACCCAATAAAGCGAAGTTGTTCCCACCTGTGACAGAGGGTTGGCGAAAACAAATTCGCGAAACAGGGTGTTACCTTCTGGCGTGTTTGACGCGAAACGAGTTTGACGTGAACCTTCGGACGTGTTCTGCATGTCCGCGGGCACGTTTTTGAAATGTCATCATATATGTACAGTCTCGCGTCTAATGGATTCTGGTACGTTTGTAGTTCTGTTACATGCTGAAATGTGGTAACTAAGCTGAAGATTTAATGTATATGTGCAAAGCTGGACACGCCCTCAACCTGATTTCTAACAATCTTCCAAAAACTTTCTGAATTTTGAAGTGTGAGGACAAAAAAGTTTACGTAGAGCGCGAACCGTTTCGATCAAATCGCGGAGAGAAATGACGAGGATGGCGAGAAATGACGAGGGTGACGAGAAATGACGAGGATGACGAGAAATGACGAGGATATGTCCCCGAATTTCTTCGAGGCTGCAGTTGACGGATTGATGACATCATTTGCCTCCCATTCAGGAATCTGGTCCAGATTCTCAGCTTCCTGACCTGACACTCTACCCTAACCGCTTCGACAGGACAAACCTCGACATCAGGTTGCTGGCCAAAATATCACAGTCGCCTGACAAAATGAATACATATCAACAGCTGTGCCCATTTCTTGCAAAATAAAAAAGCAGGTATGTGTAAACGTTATGAACACAAATCCTCAACACAAAGTCTTGGTGCTGCCCAGAACACACTCATAAGTACCCTATGTACAAGAGAACTACTATGAGGCCAGGGTGTTGGGTGAACGGGGGGGTGAGAAGAGATGGTGAATGTGAGGGAAAGGGGAAGAAAAAGGTAGAGGCTTCCGCTGTCAAAATGTTGACCAACCAATGGGTTGGGCGACCAAAAAAGGTAAAGAGCGTTCGACCATTCATAGGATCTGGGGACGCGGCAATCTTGGCGAGGGAGAAGGCAAGTTCCGGCAAATTGAAGGTCAATCCACTGAGGTCACGCGAAATGCCTAAATTCTCAGCCAGGCTGGAACAAAAACTGGAGGTGTTGGCACGATGCGTGCTTCTGCCTCACATGTCCTCGCAGTGCAGGTCAAGGGAGGTCCAGAACTCCTCAAAGTCTGTGCTTTCCATGGGAAACACGGACAGCCCATGGGGGGCGGCAGCAGCAGCAGCAGCAGCGGGAGCAGCAGCAACGGGAACAACGGACACAGCACAAGGAGGAGACCCTGCAGCTTCTGCACTACAGAGAGCTGCAGCCGCAAGCACGTCAACCGGAGGTTCAGCAGCAGCAGCAGCAGTCACGGCAGGTGCTGCAGGCGACGATGCACGTGCAAGAGTGGCTCCTAATTGGCTACAGCATGGCACCAGTGCCTTTGCTGCTTTGCCATACGGCAGAGGCGGCACTGTTGGAACTGGTGGTGCTGCTACTGCCCGACGCTGCTGCTGCTGCTGCTGCTGCTGCTGCTGCTGCTGCTGCTGCTGTTGCTGCTGCTGATGCTGCTGCTGCATCTCCTGTTGACACTGCTCCAGCAGCCGTCCCAGTTGCATCTGCACACAGCAAAACAGAGCACTCACGAATCAGCAACCTGACAATGACCACACGGAAACAAAGAAGAAAGCCGCACTTTCTTCCACAAGCCACAGGCCTCACAAGCCAGGTTTCAGGAGGCCAGAACGCTGCAAGCGAAGTGCGACCCACCTCTAGTGTAAGCGGCACAGCAGAGGAGATACCCAAAGCCTTGCGAGCAGGAGAGGAGCGCCCTGACCAACCGGTCGCCAACGGAGGGTTGACGAGACGAGGGCACCAAGGCAGAGCGGGAGGAGGAGAGGCACGAATGGCGAGGCCTGACAGAGGGGAGAGGCTCGGCGAAGGTGGGAGGCCAGGGAGGCTTGGGAGGCTTGGTAGGCCTTTGAGGGTGGGGAGGCCTGGGAGGGTAACACGTGGATCTGAGTGTGGTTGGTGCGATCTGCTGCACTGAGGCGATCTGTTGCTGAGCGAGGCTGCAGCTCCCGCTGTGATAGAGTGTCCCCATCTCTGGCGCGTGGCATTCGCATTCACGGCAACAGCTGCGGGAACAGGAGCGGGGTAAGGGGCAGAAGCAGGAGGGCCAGAGGCGCGTGCAGGTGCAGGAACCGCAGCAGCAAAGCCAGAGCGTGCAGAGGTGGTGTTGCAGGACAGCGGAACGCAGAGGGGACAACACGAACCACCACCACCAACACCACCACCAGCAGCAACCACGGGCGAACCAGGGCAAAGTCGTGCCCCAAACGCATTCCCGGGGCTGCCAGAGGTGCTGGAGCGGGTGCCATTCGGCAGGTTGCCAGGCATAAGCGGCACACGGCATCTGCCTGCCAGTGGGCTCCCGGAAATGCCACTCCTGGGACGCTTGAACTCACGGTTGCTGCAGGAGGTGTTTCGACAGGGGCTGTGCTTACAGGGGGTGTGCAGAGCTCGTGGCCGTGGTGGTGCTGAAGGGACGGGGGAGAGAGGAAGCAGGAGAGGCAGAGGTGTGTGGGTCGGGTGGGGGGAGTCACACTGGTGGAACCACGAACGGGTTGGAAGGTCAGAACGCGGTGGAGAGTCCACGAAACTCCGCTGCTGCTGCTGGGCGTGCTGCTGGGCGTGCCGTTGTGGCGACATGGTGGTGTGGCTGCTCTGCAAGCCCCCAACGCACCCGAGACTGCACAGCGCCTTCCACAGCTCGCCTCCTCCCGTCCTCGTGCCCTGCAGCCCCTCATATAAGCTCTCCAAACGCTCCGCCGAGCCGCCATTCAAGCGTCCCTTCAAGCCGTCGTTGAATCCATGGCCTGGACACTCGTCCACTCCCGCCTTGCCTTCGCTGCTCCAGGGCGTGCCGCTGCCCGAATTACTGCCTTCTACAGTTGTGCAATTCAAGGGTGATTTACCCTCCGAGACCGTCGCCTTCCCCGTCGTTTCCCCCGTGAGCTTCACGCCGCTCAAGAGTTGTGACATGCTCTCATCCTCCACGTCACGGTCCACTTGAAACACCGTGTCACGCTCCAATGGAAATGCCACGTCACACTCCTCTTGAAACGCCACGTCAGCCATCGTCGGACGCATCCACGACCACTCTTCCAGAATCCGATCTGGCCAGTCCGATCGACGGTCCATGTGAATAGGACTCTGCGCCCTCTCTCCTCCGCATACTGCAACAGCGCATCCGCTCGTTGTGCCAGCCTCCCCGCCCAGTGCAGCTCCGCCACTTGCTTCCACCGCGCGCGGCGCTCCATCGTTGCACCACTCCTCTACCTCCGACTCCGAGTCGGCGGATTGCCGCCACGCCGGCGGGTCTGACATCGCCGCCATCCCCACTGCGTTCCGCGCGCCGCCAACCCCGCGCACCGCTTTCCCCTCCGTAGTAGCCCGCGCACATGTTGGCGGAGATAACGGCATGCGCGCAGCGGCGGGCGCCGATGAGGGGCGGCTCGGGGTCGCGGACACGTTCTCGCTGTCAGCAGAGTTGCAGGAGGGGTCAACGCTCGAGCGCGACGGTTCCGCACCCGACGCCCACTCCGCCACGGCTCTCCCTGACGCACTGTCACCGTCACCGTCACCGGCCTCGGCGCCGGTCACCGTCTGCGCCTTTATGTGCAGGCCCGCATTCGCGTCGCCATGTCCCTCTGCAGCGTCCATATCCTGCTGCTGCTGCTGCGGCGGCGGCAGAAGATGTTGCCGCCCTTGTAGAATATGAAAGCCGCCCATCAGGCGCACCAAGGGGCACTTTCCCGCCGCAGCGCCGCGATGCGCGGGAGCGCCGGGAGCGGCCGGCGATCTCGACGGCGCGGTTGCGGAGTCTTTTGTCGTTACCGTCGCTGGCAGGGGCCACAGCAAGGCTATCTGGAGGAGCGGCGCGGCTTGGTGGCAGCGCAACGGCTCCCCCGCGCCAGGTTGTAAGCTTCGCGGTGCCGGTGCTGAAAGCTCGGTGCTGCTTCCTTCCGCTACTGCTGCCCATGTCCGCTTGGCCCGCTTGACGGAATGCCTCGCGTCGTAGTCAGGAGTTGGTGCTGCTCCATTTGCAGTTCCTGCAGTTGCTGCTGCTGCAGGAGTTGTTGGACGAGTCGTGGCGGTGCCGAGTGGGAGGCATAGTGGGTCGCTGCTGGGGTGGTAATGCCCTTGACACATGGTTGATGCTGCAGCTGCACTAACAGCCCGTTACGGGGTACGCAACGAGCTCCGCGCGTGTTGCCTCAGGTGTGATGCTTTCGCGAAAGCGGGTGTGTGGTTCGGCGAGGAGCATTTCACGGATCAGGGGTGGCGATGCGGGATGAAGGGATGGGGGAGAACGCGGCTAATGCGGCAGCACACAACGTAGGTGCGGCCACCTGGGAGAGGAGTGATGGAACAGGGTAGGGAGAGAAGGTTGAAAACTGCGGATTGGAGAATGAATGCTATTGCTGTCAAGTGCTCGCAAGCGAAGTGCTGGTAGGGACAGGACGACGGCTAGCCTTTAGCTGCAGTGATGTTGCCTTAGCTTGAATGCTCTTGTGGACTGTATTTTCACCAAGCAGCAGCAATAGCCTCCACGTGAAACGTGTCTCTATTCCTGGAAGGGTTACGTAGACACGAGAGCTGTGCAATGTGACGGAGTCGAGTGGATCCATAGCTTGGAATATGTTTGGACATGGGGGAAGTGACAAGAAAACTAGCCGAAGGAACCTTGGGGCAGCCTGAAGTGAACAAAACAGAGAGAGCAAGTGCACTCTGCCCTAGGAATTGGGAGGCAAACTGTACAGCTGGATGAATGATGGATGTTTGGGGAGGATGGCTGGAGTGGAGTTATGGATGAGCCGCTGTTTCTGCCTCACATTCGCGATTCGAACATATTTCTTCTGATAAGCCCTTTCCAATGGTTTTTGGTGGGTTTTCTTTTGTGAATGGAGGTGCTTACACCGAGTCACTGTTTCCATGACTATGTCTACGCCGAATTACACCAAGTCAAGCGACAAGAAAAGGGGAAAACCCAATTCCAATGCCCGCGGTTAGACTACCGAAAAGATACGAGCTGTACATATTCTTGGTCAAGTTTCTGCAGCCTGCCTGACATCTCGCGCCGCATTTCTCCAATTCGGGTCCCAGAATTTGTGGCAAACACAGCGAAAATCCGCAAGAATATCGAAGGCTGCTGAAGGGGTCAGCAAGTCCAGACGAATCAAGTTGATCCTCCAGGGTCGGATTTTCACTACAATCTTGCCACGTAATCGGATAACTCCACGTCACACGAGCATGCTAGCCGTGCTCAGTGGTAGTATCTCGTTCGCGCCAGAACAGACCTGATGGCGGGTGAAAGCAGTGCAACGAACGAATAAAACCATTTGGCAATACGTCTGACGATATCAGACCACAGCCTCATCTGGCTTGCAGTTTGACGCGCAAGGTGTGGGAACATCCTGAAAACAGGGAAAAGGTCCAGGTCCTCTGCTGGTTGTGTTGGGCCCTGGCAAATTCAGTCATCAAACAAGTGCACCAGGATCAAGAACGAACCCGATGCGGGCGTGCCCCACGAATTGGTTTTTGGGAAATGATCAAACTAGGGCCGAAGAGTGCCAGAGGGATGATCGAAGTAGGGCCAGAAAATCTCGACCGTAGGTTTCAGGCCCGAGCTTCCCAAGAGGCTAGGCGAACAAGCCGAACCGTGATTTGAAGAGAAATGCTACCGGCACCAAACTTTGTGTCCAACTTCTATAAAAACGGTTACGACCGCTATCTACTACTACGCGCGCATCGTGTTCTTCTGGAAGTAAACATTGCCGTAATAATTTTGAGTCCAAAACAACATATTTCACCATGGGTGATACATATCACCACCTGATCGGAAAAAAATATATTACCCATTCGGAAATGGATGCGAATAGGGAGGCATCAACCCTAAACCCAACGAAGGTTCCCGATTTTAGGGTTGATCCATCCCGAAAATGCATCCAGGCTCCCTAGGGGTTCTAGTTTTTTTTGGCTGCCCTAGGAGTTTCTGCCTTTCTAAACGACGCTATTGGGGGGAAGGTGATGAATCAGTAACTATTTCTACGAAAAATAGCGCGCGAGCGAAAATGCTAGTTGTCAGCGTACATATGTTAAATAAATGATAACTCACTGCAAATACCTTCTTGCCCGGTGTTTTGGTTAGTTCCAGGCCTCTCGGCCCCTGTTTTATCACATCTGGCACTGTTCGGCCCCTGTATGATATTTTCCCTTAATTTTTAGCCCATGAATCACACCAGACTGGTGAGTCACGGTTCGAAGCGGTGGAGAAGACAAGAAAACGCGGGAAAATGCACAAAACCGTTCCCCATCGCAGAAGCTGGACCAAAAAGAACTCGTGGGACACGCCCTTAGTATATGGTTTATTTTGGTTGCAGTAAGAAATTTTCTCCACATTCCTTATCGCATCCTGCAACATCGCGTACAGCAGCAGCCGTTGTTCGCCCGTTACTACTAACGGGACTTCGCCGGCTTCGCGCGCATTGTTTCACCAAACCATGCACCGCTAGCCCGGCCGTGTCGGCCTACGCTTCGGAACTAGCCCAAGACTCGATGCCAGCCTAGCACTAGCTAGCTTGCATGCACCGCGTTACCGTTTGCATGTTTCGCGTATAAATGTTCGCTCATGCCTTTCGTTCACATTCTGTACTCGTTTGACACTTAGTGCAATCATCGCTACCTCGATTTATTGCACCTGTAACACTTGGTATTCAAAGCTTCTTTCTTTCGGACCGCGCATCTCCGCACCCTAGGAAATCAACATTTGATTTTTCACTCGAAGGGACTCACACACCCTAGCCCCTAGGAGCCGCTGTCCTCACGTTCTCTTATAAATGTGTGCAGTCACGATGTCCGAACATTATAGCTTATACATTTGTGTAGGCTGTAGTGGGGTAGCCCATAAGGGCTACAACCCAATTAGGGTTAGTACTTGTACCCAACTGTTTCATAGTTCATCCATTCCATTCTCACTTCTCGTCATGGTAAGAAGACAGTCTCTGCCACTGCACTGCCCTGCCTCCTGCTGTTATGGCTTCCCCTAGCGTTCTCACCTTTGACGCTGAGGGTCGGGCAGTGGACTTTGAGGTCTAGGTAGATGATCTGCAGCTTTTCCTGCAGTGCGATAGGGGAGACGGCCTCTCCCTGTTTGACCTCACTTCTGGTGCCTCCCCTGCCCCTGCTGCTGATGCTAACGCCACTGTTCGCTCACAGTGGGCCACACGTGACGCTGCTGCTCGCCTTGCTGTGCGCCGCCACCTACCGACCACTGAGCGTACACACTTTAGCCAGTACAAGAGTGCTCAGACCTTGTACGACGCTGTAGTTACACGCTACTCTTCCCCTGCCACTGCAGCACTTAGCCGCCTCATGCTACCGTACCTCTTCCCTGACCTTGCTGCCTTTCCCACTGTTGCTGACCTCATTACGCACCTCCGCACTAGTGACACTCGCTACCGCGCTGCGCTTCCTGTTGAGTTCTGCGCCAAGAACCCCCCCCCCATATACATCACCCTCTACTACATAGTCACCCGTCTCCCTGACTCTCTCCGTGTAGTCAGGGACCACTTCCTCTCTGTTTGCCCCACCACTCTCACCGTTGACCTCCTCGAGAAGGCCCTCCTAGCGATAGAGAAGAGCATAGTCGCTGTAGGAGCCTCTCGTGGTGACCCACGCACCCCCGTCTTTGAGGGGTGTTCTCCCTCCCCCCTCTTGCCCTCTGTTGCCTCTGCTGCTGCGGCCGACCTCGTTGGTTTCAAGTCGGTCGGCGCTGCGTCTGCCCCGAGCGGGAGACGCCGCACCGACAAAGGCAAGGGGGGCAAGGGCACTTGAGGAGGTGGAGGGGGCGGTGGAGGTGGTGGTGGAGGCGGTGGAGGGAGTGGGGGTGGTGGTGGGAGTGGTGCTGGGGGTGACGGCGGCGGCGGCAGCAGTGGAGGCGGCGGAGGGGGTGGAGGTGGCGGAGGGAGCGGAGGCGGCGGAGGTAGTGGAAGAGGCGTAGGTGGAGGAGGCGGCGGAGGCGGCGGAGGCGGCGGCGGCGGCGGAGGCGGCGGTGGTGGAGCGAGTCGCGACTCTGCGTCGAGGAGTGGCGCCGGTGGTGGTCAGCGCCAGCAGCAGCAGCGGAGTGGTGTGACCCTGTCCCCTCAGCAGCTTCGTGAGTGGTACACTGCACGCCAGCGCGGTGGGGGTTTTGGTCCCTGCTCTTACGTTCTCCGTACCGGCGACCGCTCTGGTGAGCAGTGCGGGGGTGCGCACTCCACCCAGCGCTGCTTTGGTCGCCTAACGGACGCGTGGCGTCGCTAGTTCCCTGAGGCGTCAGAGATCCCTCGCTAGGGGAGATCTGGCTAAGGCCGGGGTTGCTATCTTTGATCTTGACTTTGATGCTATTCTTGCTGCCATGTATGCTGTTGCTGATAGTGTTG